CGCCAGCCGTTGTTCCGCAAGAGGCAGATGATCGCCCTCGGCCATCCGCCACAAAATGAAGCAGTTATACGACCAAACTAATAACATATTTAGGACCGACATCATCTCGACCTCCCAAGATGGCACGCTTACAAACTTGCCTTTTGCCCAAAGTCTCTCTCCTCACCCCCTTCAAAAATTGTCCATCAATATGTCCACCTAACTGCTTTATCTTTCATATATATAAGCTGATGTGCATCTTATTTCCCTCTCTTCGAAAAATGATTGAGTCATTTTAAAAAAATTCATTTTTTCCTCCAGTCATCAAATTAATTTAATGGGACGCATGAATAAGTTCTAAAAAACCAATTGTCAGAATTTTCATTATAAATATAGAATTTCATTAGATAAAATTTTCATTGAGCCGAATTTTTATTTACTCGAATTTGATAGAATTTCCATATTATTTTTCATACTACAGCAATTTTTACTTAACCGAAAAATCATTTAACAGAATTTCTTATTGATAAAATTTTTATTTATTCGAAATTCCATATATGTTCGAACAAACAGTCAACAGAAAGATTTCAGCCCTATTTTTAAAATCAACTAATAAAAAATTATTCATAAAATATTACGATTGGTTACTTTTAAAAATTGCACCGAAATCTTTCTGTCGACTGTTTGTTCGGCAATTTTGCAATTTCGGACAAATAAATATTCTATGAAATTAAAAATTCTGTTAAAAGATTTTTCGATTAAATATAAATTCTGTGGTATGAAAAATCGGTTATTTGGAAATTCTATTTTCGAAAAAAAAAATCTGTAAAGTGGATTTTTGGTTATATAAAAATTCTCTAATATAGAAAATCGGTTTAATGAAAATTCTAACAATTGATTTTTAGAACTTATTGTTGCGTACCAATTTAATAGAAAATAATTCGAAAAAATATATTTGTATTTTAAGTTTAATAAAATAAAGTTTTCTTATCAAATTAATACCAAATTGTATCAAATTATATTTTCCAAATATTCGTATTGGCTTTGAATTTGATATATACCTTCAAATTAAATGTATATTTGAAAATATCAGCTTTGTGTGTAATTAAATCGAATTTTTAAAACAATCATCAAGATATGAATTTTCACAAAGAAGAGATAAAATTGAAAAGTTCAGTTAAGAGCCGATCTATTACCGGTTTGATACAATTTCAGTGTAATAATAAAAATTACGATGATTGCGGACCTCACAATGGGTTTACTGTAATCATAGTAATGAAACCTCTGCGTTACTTCGTTTACCTCATTCATGTTTTTTTTTTTTATCCTCCCCACCCAGGAAGATCTCTTTTTCTTTCTCTCTCTCGATATTCGCTTTTAATTTGAAATTAAACTTCGATTATCTTAGACAACTTATAAAATTTTCAAATTATATTAAACCATACATCGAGGCGGAAAAGAATAATTCGACTTAAAGTAATTGGCTCTACGTGGCTTTATATGTGTATAATATAATAATAACGAGAGGAAGATTAAAGGCCGAACAATAATTTAACGAACTTCCTATTGGGGCCAATTGTTTGAAAGGAAGTTGGAGCTAAAAAAAAGGTCTTCGTTTCTTTCTCTTTTTTTTTTTTGGGAGGGCTTTTTGCCATTCTCCAAAATTTCGAAAGATCGAAACGTGCGTGTATCTTTCGAAGGACAATACATTGAGTTTTCACAGACTTAAGTTCAACAATAGAAGAGCCACCCTTGGAGGGCCTTTGTCGGTCTTGGGTCAGTGGATGCGAGTAGAGACGCCGGATGATGGACCACCAGCACGTGCGGGTTCCTCTTGGACACATGTTTCTGACTTTTGCAAAAGATATTTTATATATGGTTAACTAAGTTTCTTGTTAAAAAGAAAAAAACCTTATTTCCATGGGATTATTTCTTTAACCCAAAAACGGATCCTTTATTTTCTACCTTCAAAATAGTTTCTCAGATCGTCTTTTTTTTAGTCATCGCGCGCGCCCACGTCAATTTCCGCGAATAGAAAAAAAAAAAAAAAATTTAAATCGGACCAGATTCTTTGGATTCTCTTGGCCAAGATAAAGCCACGTTTGGCTACCACTTTTAATCGCCATTGGGGGACAAGTCCCCCTCTTTCTTGGTCTTTAGCCTCGTTAAAATATCGTCTCGAAAGATAATCCGAATTCCAAGATGAGAGAGAATGATTCTCTCAAAAATTCAATATAGTCGTTAATAATAATTGAAAGTGACATTTTTAATTAGAAGGATATATCTCAATTTTGATAAAAAAAAAGAAGAAAATTCAAACAAATAATTCTTACTTGTCCCGTTATTTTTTTTTATATAAATAAATAAATATAAATTAGAAAAAAAATAAAATGGAACCAATTTTGGAGACAGGGAGTTTTTTTTTGAAAAAAAAACAGTAGCCAGACATCATAAACTATGTTATCTAGTTGATCTTAAATGAAGCTCATAAAAATTGGGAAAAGCACATGAAGAGACAAGGCGGAACAGTGTATGGCAATTGAGAAAAAGAAAAAGAAGAAGAAGAAGAAGCCGACAGTGGAAAAATTTTAAACGGTCAAAATATATATATATGTATATAGCTTCTTCAAAGGATCCGCGCATCAACTCTTCTATCCACCCCATGTCCGAAAAAGCCAGAAGCCCGCAGGAAAACATATAGGGTAACATATAGGCTTCAGTGTGGTCCACCACTCGTGCAGATGTCCGCCCCACACGACCTCAATTTATTCGACACCTCCCCTAGCCTACAGCTCTTAAAAAAGAATATATTTCTTTAATACATATTCTTTCAATGTTGAAAAAAATTACAAAGTATTTCGATAAAAAGCTATATAATATAAAAAATTTTATTACGCTAATTATTAACGAAATCGTTACTTTTTTTTAGGTTTCTCTCTAAAAACAAGTTTCTTTTCTTTTTTCTCACACAATTTTTATCTTATTTTTAGAGGTTTCGTGGCTCGGGACCAAAACCCCTTATATAGTATCGCTTTAGCGTTCGTCTGTCCGTCGTACACTCGTAATGGTAACATTTACCATTAAAACCGATTCCTTGACAACTGTTTCCATAGTAACCATTTCCTTAACAAGCGTTTCCCTGACAACCGTTTCCCTGACAACCATTTCCATAGCAACCGTTTCTATAGGACCATAGCAACCGTTTTCTTGACAACCGTTACCATAACAACCGTTTCCATAGCAACTGCTTCCATAGCAACCGTATCCATAGCAACCGTTTCTATAGCAACGATTCCATAGCAACCATGTCCGTATTAACCGTTTCCATAATAACCGATTTCTTAGCAACTGTTTTCATAGCAATCTTTTTCTTAACAACCGTTTCCATAGCAACCGTTTCTATAGGACCATAGCAACCGTTTCCATGACAACCGTTTCCTTAACCGTTTCCATAGTAACCATGTCCGTATTAACCGTTTCCATAGTAACCATGTCCGTATTAACCGTTTCCATACTAACCGATTTCCTAGCAACTGTTTCCATAACAACCGTTTCTATAGGACCATAGCAACCGTTTCCATGACAACCGTTTCCTTAACCGTTTCCATAGTAACCATGTCCGTATTAACCGTTTCCATAATAACCGATTTCCTAGCAACTGTTTCCATAACAACCTTTTCCTTAACAACCGTTTCCATAACAACCGTTTCTATAGGACCATAGCAACCGTTTCCATGACAACCGTTTCCTTAACCATTTCCACAGCAACCGTTCCTATAGGACCATAGCAACCGTTTCCTTGACAACCGTTACCATAACAAACCGTTTCCATAGCAACTGCTTCCATAGCAACCGTTTCTATAGCAACCGATTCCATAGCAACCGTTTCCATAGTAACCATGTCCGTTTTAACCGTTTCCATAATAACCGATTTCTTAGCAACTGTTTCCATAACAACCTTTTCCTTAACAACCGTTTTCATAACAATCGTTTTCATAACAACCGTTTCTCTAGGACCATAGCAACCGTTTCCATGACAACCGTTTCCTTAAAAATTTCCATAGCAACCGTTTCTATAGGACCATAGCAACCGTTTCCTTGACAACTGTTACCATAACAAACCGTTTCCATAGCAACTGCTTCCATAGCAACCGATTTCATAGCAACCGATTCCATAGCAACCGTTTCCATAGTAACCATGTCCATATTAACCGTTTCCATAATAACCGATTTCTTAGCAACTGTTTCCATAACAACCTTTTCCTTAACAACCGTTTCCATAACAACCGTTTCTCTAGGACCATAGCAACCGTTTCCATGACAACCGTTTCCTTAACCATTTCCATAGCAACCGTTTCTATAGGACCATAACAACCGTTTCCTTGACAACCGTTACCATATCAAACCGTTTCCATAGCAACTGCTTCCATAGCAACGGTTTCTATAGCAACCGTTTCCATAGTAACCATGTCCGTATTAACCGTTTCCATTATAACCGATTTCTTAGCAACTGTTTCCATAGCAACCATTTCCTTAACAACCGTTTCCATAGCATCCGTTTCCTTGACAACCGTTTCCTTAACCGTTTCCATAGCAACCGTTTCTATAGGACCATAGTAACCGTTTACTTGCCAACTTTTACTATAACAACCGTTTCCCTGACAACCATTTCCATAGCAACCATTTCCTTGACAACCGTTTCCATGACAACCTTTACCATAGCAACCGTTACCATGGCAAGGAAGAAGACCTGAATTTTAAAAGACACGAAACCTTATATAGATGAAGACACTTTACGTTTGCCTCTCATACTGTTTATCATTATTGAAATTTTCATTTCCTTCCTTAAATTTCGATTTTTTTTTACACATTAGATAAAAATTTCAATTATTATGTATTCGTAAACATAACACATAGAAAAAAATTTAATCAAAGATTGTAAAAATGTTTGTCCAACACAAGTTCAAAATCTTTGCTCAATAAATTGAAAAGTCGCGTTTTAAAATGTATCAAACTCTTACCTTTGAGAATAATCACTGCTGCTCCTGTCTCCAATAAACCTAAAACAAAAAAAGAAATAATTTATAACATTAATTAAGAATATTAATTTATTTTAAAATCTCTTTTAAAATATAAAAAATTGGTAAAAAACAAAATTACTCTTTCACAAATATGGAAAAAATTCCTAGAGATTAATTTTTTTCGTTAATAATTAAAACCAGTTTACATATACGAAAAAAATCAAAGGTGTGGTTTCTTTAGAAGCTAATTTCGATGAATATGTAAATTTTTTTTTAATTTTTTTTATTTTTTGAAACAAAAAAGGGAACAATATTGTAGTAGCTGATGGATGTTACAAGCGCCAGACAATCGTATGATTACTTTCTTCCTCTATCTCTTTCTCTCGTAGCGAACAAGTTGCAAAAGTGAGTTTTTTTCTTTTTTTCCTAAATGTTTTTGCTTGCTTTCCGTGAGTTTACGTTACTTTGATTACAGGTATACACCCCGCCGACAAAGTATAGACAAGATTTAAGTTTTGCTCTTTATTCCTTTAAATGTAACAAATAATTGAGAAAAAGTTAATTAAGGGAGGCCCCTGAAGTATTTCTTTGGCAGCTAAAAATGAAGCACCTCTCTTATAATACCATGTTGGTTGGATACTTTAAGGCTTTTATAATCGACCCTTAGAGATCATTTCGTTTTCTTAGTATGGCGCGGTCTTAATTGTCATGACAAGCTTTGGATACAATTTGCCTATCGTATTTTAACTCCCAAGTTTGTAATTATGTTGTAAACTCCAGTAGCTTGTTGCAGCAAGAAACGAAACTGTTTTGCCTTGCTTGGTGGTCGAAGTATTTACACTTCCGGTCCGCTATATATATATAATACTTCCAAGAGTTCTTTTGATCTAATATAATTTTTTCTTTTTTTATAAAATTGAATTTTTTTCCTCCAAATTGCTTTTTATTGAAATTCTATTAAATATATCTTGGAAATTCTAATTTCATAATCTATATCGTGAATTTGCATATAAATATTTTTAGTTTGTATTTGGCCTTTAGTATCGAATGCAAGATACTATCGGTAAGGCTATTTGTATGTTAAACTATTATCAAAAAAAAAAAATTGACTTTCGAACCAGTTTTTTGCTACGTGTGTGATAATTGAAAAAGCACTTCAGGATACTCAAATGGATAATTACTTTGTTTTAGGTACTTGGATTTGTGCAACGAAAATCCAATAACCATATAATGATCTATGGTTTTGCTGCTAAGCCCTTTGAGCTCTTTTTAGTTGAGCCTATATATAGTTCGTAGATGAGACCGATAAGATCCTCCAATCAGGCTCTTACAAACGTTTACACATAGCTCGACCAAAGGTTCGCCAGGTTCGTTAATAACTCCCAGCTACCGTCTCGTCAACCTCTTTTTCGTTAAAATAACATCAAAGAGTTAGAAAATTAATTATTTCGCCCTTAGGTCCTTCGTGAAATTAAAATTCTCCGCAATTATCGTTTTTCAAAAAAAAAAGTTCGCTCAATAATTTCTCCAATTTTTATTCATCCATCGAATTATTATTTTTATTATTAAATTTAAAAAAAAAATTATTTGAAATAAATATTTATTGTGAAAAATAATTTTTTTTTTCCTCTGCGAATGATATGCGACTTTCTTTCAATTCTTTTCCCATAAATGGATGTCGATTTTGAATGACAAAATCGAAAAGCGAATATTTGCAATAAAATTATATATAGTTATATGTGTCGTTGAAAATCGTATTTTATTAATGTGCACTACATTATTCATAAACCGGTTTATGAGTTGCGTTTACTATTTCCACGTATGCCATTTTTCTCCCATAGAAACGAACATTATACGTATGTGTATATATGTAATCAGTGACCCTGTGTTTATATATGCTTTGTTACCCTATCTTCTTTCTCGAATGATAAAGCAATTTTATATCCAAGTAAAGAAAATAGTAAGTATCGTAGATTATACGAATAAAAATTGTGGTAAACATTTAAAAATAAAACCTCTCAATTCAACTTTTTCCGATTAATTTTTTTAATTAATTTTTTTAATTTAAAAAAAAATTTAATTGTTTTAATGTTCGATTTTTTCAAATTAAAATATGTTTTTTTTTTTTTTTTTTGTTCTAAACTTTGAGTTAACTTGAAACGTGGAAAAAAAGTATACAATCACTTTTGAAATTTTCAAAGAAGGAAACGAGAGAGCTTTATCTGAAATTAGTTTGACTTTTTTTCAATGTGTTAAACTTGCTTTAAAAAAGAAAAAGAAAAAAAAAGAAAAAAAACGTTGAAAATCCATACATCCCTTCAAATTGTTCTTCTTGCCATAGTCGTTATATGTTGTTATCTCAGAAAGTAATCAATTTCCTTATTGCCCTTCGAAGAGCGGAAACCCGATAATAACAATTACATATAACTTTACAACCTAATCTAATTCCAATACAACTGCTTTGAAAACGATATAATAATTTCAATAAAAGTCCATTTCCCATCAAATGAAACGTGAATTTTTATGTCGTCAATTGAAAACAATTTTTTTTTTCTATTCGATAAACAATCTTATTAAATTTCTTTATATGGGAAAATAATTTTTATTTTTTTATTTATTCTATATAAAAAAAAATTATTTTTTTGTATTGAAAACATTTTTTTTTTCTTCTCTCTAAATCTGAATTAGTAAAAATGTTTACTAATTTGAATTAGTGACTTACTTTTTGCTTCTGAATTAGTAAAATTTTTACTAATTACTAGTAACTTTTACTAACAATTAGTAAAATTTAACTAATTCAGAAGCAAAAAAGTGAGTCTCTAATTCAAATTAGTAAACATTTTTACTAATTCAAATTTAGAGAGTTGATTAAAATACAAAATTTATCGAAAATAATTTCCTGTATAATTTTTCAACCCTTTGACCCCTATATGAAATAGAAAAAAAAAATTAGTAAAAAAAATTTCAGTTCCACAAATTGCACTTCAATTTTCTTCACATATATATAGAACAAATACGGGGGAGAAAACTTTGTATTACAAATTACATTCTTGTTTTCTAGGGCATCTGTAATAGTAATTCCGTAAAGTTGCCTTCCTCGCGGAATTCAAACAACCTCCTTCTTCCCCTTTTGTATACATATATATATATATATATATATATATATATATATATATATATATATATGCGAGTTACTTAAGCCTTCACAAACAAACTTTCTGACTATAAGCGAACCTGTTCAGTGTGTATTCAAGATAAACCACTCTCGGACTCAAAACCATTTGTAGTCCCATTTCCTCCAAGGAATTCGTTTCACGTCCATTACAGTTGGAACTTTATATTCCACATGTAATTTAATTCTATTATGAATATTGCAATATGAAACATAAAATTGACTGCAAAGTGGAATTATAAAATTGGTTCAATTGATGTAACATGATTTTCTGTTATTCACTTTTCATAATTATATACAATCTCGTGTTTATTTATATATTTATATATATATATATTTTATACTAAAATCTATATACTATCATGATGTAATATTGTGTATGTAAATTTTTTCCATTTTGTAGATTTTTAATTTCAATCGAATTAATGAGAAAAAAATTTTAGACTTTTTTTTTTGTAAAAAATAATGAATTTTTTCATTCATTAATTTTCCGTTTGGTTGATATGTAAAAAAAATTGTATTTTTTGTCTCAAGAATATTGAAACTGGAAAAAAATTTATTTGATTCAAATAATTGGTTACTTTATTATCAAATAAATATTTATCTAGAACCAATAATTTTTGTATTTCCCACTTGGAAAGATTCCCCGGAAAGTGCTCCCTGGAGGTTCTAACAGAATTCCGCCGGAACTTCCAACGTAATTCCGTCGGAATTCCATCGGAGTTCCAAAGAATTTCCGATGGGATTCCGACGGAATCCCGATTAATTGTTTTTTCAAAATTTTTAGAGTCCTAATTCCGTCGGATCTCCGTCGGAATCCCATCGGAAATTCTTTGGATTTCCGCCGGAACTTCCAACGTAATTCCGTCGGAATTCCATTGGAGTTCCAAAGAATTTCCGATGGGATTCCGACGGAATTAGGACTCTAAAAATTTTGAAAAAACAATTAATCGGGATTCCGTCGGAATCCCATCGGAAATTCTTTGGAACTCGGATGGAATTCCGACGGAATTACGTTGGAAGTTCCGGCGGAAATCCAAAGAATTTCCGATGGGATTCCGACGGAGATCCGACGGAATTAGGACTCTAAAAATTTTGAAAAAACAATTAATCGGGATTCCGTCGGAATCCCATCGGAAATTCTTTGGAACTCCGATGGAATTCCGACGGAATTACGTTGGAAGTTCCGGCGGAATTCTGATAGAACCTCCAGGGGGCACTTTCTGGGGAATCTTTCCAAGTGGGAAATACAAAAATTATTGGTTCTAGATAAATATTTATTTGATAATAGTCAAGTAAATTATTGGTTCAAGTAAACATTTATTTGATAATAGTCAAGTAAATTATTGGTTCAAATAAATATTTATTTGATAATAGTAATCGATTATTTGTAACAAATAAATTTTTTTTTCATTAATATTTAATTGAAATAGAAAATATGTTGAAAAAATTTATCGATCCCGAATAATTTATTTATTGCTTAATTGCTTCGAACTAAATGTAATTAATTTAGAAATCCCCCGAAGAAAAAAAAAAAAAAAAAAGGTGTAAAATCTCTTTAAAAGGCGAAATTATTTCCTGTGGGCAATATTCTTATAACAGGAGCGAGGGTCGATATCACTAATGCATAGCACCTGTTTTCAAAGTGGACGATGTGTGGTCACAGAATGCGTAACGAATGCCATTCATTACATTCATTCATTCAATTCATTGTTTTCGTGTCGACTTGGTGGTCTCATACAATTAAATCAGACTTTGCGCGTTTTTTTTTTTTTTTAAACTTTTATCAGCATAATTGCAATACAATGTTTAACGAGAATAAATTCTCTCATCGTGTGAAAGCACACACAATTCTTTGATGATGCTG